CACACACACACACACACACACACACGCACACACTCTCTAGATTTCTACCGGGTCTGGGCCAAGGAGTTTAGAACTTTTAATCTCCTTGGTCTGGGCGCTGAAACTTCCCGAAATCACAAAAGAGTTCCCCTACCGGGTGTGTATACTTCGTGACTTTGTTCCCGGTTACCGGGTCTGTATACACTTCGTTTTACGGCATCTGAATCAAGCACATGATGTACCATATTCCTATATACAATGAATTCAATTTATTAGGAACTGTCTTTATAGAAAACTTCCCTTTCTTTATAAGACAAAACCCCATGTACCATTAGCATTCGTCATTTCTAAAGAAACAAAAATTTGCTTTTATAATGGGGGGCCTCTGCGGTCCCTTTCATGAGACTGAAAAGATACAAGTGCAGTGAAGTCCACGAATCTCGAACACGAAAATCACACATTCTCGGGTATCTCGAACATAATGAACGGTCCCGTTTCAGTCCGTATGTTTTCTTTGTATTGACTTCACGGAGTTCCCGAACACTCGGAACACGCAACATTCGAATTTCGAACAAATCCACTTCGCATTCTCAACTAAAGACCCGGCGTTACATTACAGCCTTTCTGGCCGTGGGCAGGTGTTTCTTTGTCATTGTGACAGCCAAAACGTGGTCCTTGTCTCACCACGAGAGGCTGGAGGAAGGGGGGAACGAATGAAGGGGGACGGGGAAGAGGGGTTGGAGAGTGATGCTGACCGCATCGCATGACTAGCTCGCCACGCATGCAATTATGCTGTGGGACGCACGCGGTGCGGATGACAAGAGGCGTAACTTTCTGTAAGCCAATGAAATGAGAGGGGAAAGGAATGATGTAGGAGTCGGCTGTGGACAACGTGAAATTTTCAACTTTCCACTTTCATTCATCTTATTGTTTTCACTCCGTCAACATGTTCATCAAGGGAGCTAACCACGTTAATTGTTTTAATGTTCTTTTTTTTTACCTCCCTTGATTTTCTCTATTTCTTTTGTATTTGGGGATTTCACGAACATGAAGAATTACAGAAATCTCGAACATTATTTCCAATCCCTTTTCGTTTCAGTAGAGGTTTTACGGCGCTCGCAACTGCATAAGGTCATATGAGCGCCAGAAGATTAGAAGAGTTACAAGAGAGTAACAAGCATAAAAAAGAAGGAGGGGAGATAAGGACGATAGACGTTTGATAGAAAAGAACAAACCACACCAGAGCACCTCCCAACCGTCCACTTCCAATCCCTGATGAATTCGAGTTACCGTGTTTGACTGTAATTAATATAGCCATTTATCATAGTGTTTAAACAATAAAGAGAGAGACTCCCAAATACCAAGAAAACTGTAAAGTAAAACAGTATGCCCCTCAAAAGAAAGTAAACTGCAGAAAAGGAATGAGAGAGAATATTAGGTTCTTTGAACTTTTTGCCATTTCTTGTATGCTTCAGTTGGCACAACAAAGTAAGCACAAGGCACAAGTAGCAAATTCTGAATGGAAGGAATTTAGAGGTCGTCCTGCAGCTCAATATGTCCTACATGATACATTTAAAGAGTACGGAGGTGCCAACTGTCCATAGAAAAAAAAATTCCTGAATTTTTCAGGGTCCCGTGACAACAAATGCATGAGGACTCAAAGTTTACAGATCATATGTGTCCTGACACGGTGAGATCATAATGTGTCACGACGCGGTGGAATCAGGCGCTCGTCAGTTTTGGGACATATGGAGTTATTGGTATGACCTTAAAGCCTGTTCATTCGCCTTGCTTGTGAAGAAAAAAAAATATTCCTTTATCTTCGATACAAGTCAAGACATTGGCTGTTGAAGGAGGTGAGGGTCACCTGATTTCAGAGGTAAAAAAAAAAAAAATTGGCGAGAACATGGTCGCCAAAGTTGGTTTATTTCCTTAGCTTGAGAGTTTGTGAAAACTGAAAATTTACATCTTTTATGCCTTTAATCAACACTTTTTAGTAAAATCCACACAGAAATGTGTCCTTTAATGGGCATGAAGGGTGTGGAGCCAAAAACCCAAAATTTGCTAAAAATTCCCACACCTGCGCGAAAAATGCCAGTTTCTTGACTTTCATTATTTTGACAAGCACCTGATTTCACCAAGCTACCTCACACATGTTTGAAGTTGTATGCATCTTGTTAAGACGATTTTTTGATTTATCAAGAGCAATATATGACATGCAAATAAAGAGACTAAAGTATCAGTAATATGTATAAGCAGAGTATGTTTCAGAATCCAGACAATTAAAAATTCCGAAATCACAATTTACATGGATTTATATGGAAAATCGGCACCTCTGAAACTGAAAATACCACAAACTCATACCTTTTTTTAGTTTTGGTAAGAGTTTTACGGCACTTGTAACACAATAAGTTTACAAGAAGATTACAGGTGTTACAAGAGAGTAACAAACACAAAAAAGAAGGAGGGGAGAGAAGGACGATAGTCTTAGATGTTTGATAGGAAAGAAGAAGCAAACGCACCCGCCAACTACAAACTCATCATACCTTGATAAGACTGGAAGTGAGTATTGAACAAGTAACCAACTTTCCTTCTCTCGGAAGTGTCGGAGCCAAGAAGCACCTGAGGATTTCATGCCCAACATAGCCCAACATTATGTAAAATAAAGGAAACAAAAAAAAGGAGGGGGGGGGAGAAGAAATGAAATAGCAATGGGTCTGATAGCACACAGTACAATATAAGTCCATATTAAAGAAAGAAAGAAAAAGAATGGGGATTGATGGAGAGGGAAAAGAGATGTGAATACATAGGTAAAGGGATGAAAACATAGTACTTTCTAAAGACTACTGAGAGAGAGAGAGA